CAGTATGCACTGCAATGAAATGCAAGTCTGACCCTGAGTGAAGGAGAGAGAAGGGAGGGAGGGAGGGAGGGAAGGAAGGAGGGAAGGAAGGAAGGAAGGAAAGAAGGAAGGAAGGAAGTTAGTCAGAGGGAAGTGTCTTAGCCTGGGTGCAGTTCTAAGGAAAGTTTAGCATCACCATCAGGTAGTCCTTAAGACAAAGTCAGCAGCCAAAGGAGTCCAGTGTCACGGAAAACAGTATGTAGTTTCCCCAAAACTAAAAATAGAGCTACCATATTATCCAAAGATACATGCACCCCAATGTTCATAGCAGCACTATTCACAATAGCCAAGACATGGAAACAACCCAAGTGCCCATGAAAAGATGATTGGATTAAGAAGATGTGGTATATAGGGCTTCCCTGGTGGCGCAGTGGTTGAGAATCTGCCTGCTAATGCAGGGGACACGGGTTTGAGCCCTGGTCTGGGAAGATCCCACATGCCACAGAGCAACTAGGCCCGTGAGCCACAACTACTGAGCCTGCACGTCTGGAGCCTGTGCTCCGCGACAAGAGAGGCCGTGATAGTGAGAGGCCCGCGCACCACGATGAAGAGTGGCCCCCGCTTGCCACAACTAGAGAAAGCCCTCGCACAGAAACGAAGACCCAACACAGCAAAAATTAATTAATTAATTAACTCCTACCCCTCCAACATCTAAAAAAAAAGATCCTTTTTTTTAAAAAAAAGATGTGGTATATAGATACAGTGGAGTGTTACTCAGCCTTAAAAAAGAATGAAATAATGCCATTTGCAGCAACATGGGTGGACCTAGAGATTGTCATACTGAGTGAAGTAAGTCAGACAGAGAAAGAGAAATATCGTGTGATATCGCTTATATGCAGAATCTAAAAAATAATACAAATGAATCTACGTACAAAATGGAAACAGACTCAGACATAGAAAACAAACTCATGGTTACCAAAGGGGACAGAAATTGGGGAGGGATAAATTAGGAGTATGGGATTAACAGATACAAACTACTATACATCAAATAGATAAGCAACAAGGATTTACTGTATAGCGCAGGGAATTATAGCCATTATCTTGTAATAACCTATAATGGAATACGATCTGCCAAAAAAAAAACCCCAAAACCTGAATCACTATGCTGTACACCTGAAAGCAACACAGTAATGTGAATCAACTATACTTCAATTAAAAAAAGGACTCCAGTGTCTTCCATGAACAGGCCTACCTAGTGTCCCTGCTGGGGTCATCCACTGACCAGGAACAGCCCATAGGAAGTGTGGCCTTGATGCAAATACAGTGACGATTTCAGAGTGTAGCAGCAGCCTGGTCAGTCTCCCAGCTGTCAGAGATCTGAGAGGCACATTCTTATGGCTGCCATATGCCTGCCAACCACAGCATTGCCAGCAGGGCTTCTGTTCTGCTTTGTAGCTTCTTCATGTTCTGAGTTACTACCTAGAATATAGGCAGTACACCTGTAGATTATTTTTTACCACTACCCCGTCTCTAAGTTCTACTTTATACCCTTCCTCCATAAACTCAGCCATGTTTTTCATCTGGGACTGAGGTCTGCTTTGCTCTCCAAGTCCTTTTATGGATTAGGAATCTGGCTCTGAATCAGAGCCCTCATGGCTAGCTCCCCCGTCCCAATGGGCCAATGTCTTTTACCCCAGCTATCCACATGCCTATTGCCTGCCCCCACCATAGGATATTTTTAAGGGTAAAATTCTATCTTTTTAGCTTATCACAACCTCCTGGCCTTCTGGAACCGCAACAGATCAACATAGATGTCCTGCTAGCCATCTGTGCTACTCAAGTGCTACATACCTATGTGCATCCATGATCACCATGCTCTAGAGTTAACTTAGGAGGTTTCATAACTTACCTAAACCACACAAGAAATAAATGGCAAGGCTGGAGTTTAAACCAGATCAATCTGATTTCTAAGGTGTCCTTTCTAAAACACTGTCTGATACTGCATCTCCTTCACAAAACTGGGCATACTGTATTACGACCAGCTGTTTACTTGTCCATCCACCCCGGCCCTCAAGATGAGAGTTCCTCAGGATAGAAAGCCCAGAGAAAAACCCACGCACATATGGTCACCTTATCTTTGATAAAGGAGGCAGGAATGTACAGTGGAGAAAGGACAGCCTCTTCAATAAGTGGTGCTGGGAAAACTGGACAGGTACATGTCAAAGTATGAGATTAGATCACTCCCTAACACCATACACAAAAATAAGCTCAAAATGGATTAAAGACCTAAATGTAAGGCCAGAAACTATCAAACTCTTAGAGGAAAACGTAGGCAGAAGACTCTATGACATAAATCACAGCAAGATCCTTTTTGACCCACCTCCTAGAGAAATGGAAATAAAAACAAAAATAAACAAGTGGAACCTAATGAAATTTCAAAGCTTTTGCACAGCAAAGGAAACCATAAACAAGACCAAAAGACAACCCTCAGAATGGGAGCAAATATTTGCAAATGAAGCAACTGACAAAGGATTAATTTCCAAAATTTACAAGCAGCTCATGCAGCTCAATAACAAAAAAACAAAAACCCAATCCAAAAATGGGCAGAAGACCTAAATAGACATTTCTCCAAAGAAGACAGACAGATTGCCAACAAACACATGAAAGAATGCTCAACGTCATTAATCATTAGAGAAATGCAAATCAAAACTACAATGAGATATCATCTCACACCAGTCAGAATGGCCATCATCAAAAAATCTAGAAACAATAAATGCTGGAGAGGGTGTGGAGAAAAGGGAGCACTCTTGCACTGCTGGTGGGAATGTGAATTGGTACAGCCACTATGGAGAACACTGTGGAGGTTCCTTAAAAAACTACAAATAGAACTACCATATGACCCAGCAATCCCACTACTGGGCATATACCCTGAGAAAACCATAATTCAAAAAGAGTCACGTACCAAAATGTTCATTGCAGCTCTATTTACAATAGCCCGGAGATGGAAACAACCTAAGTGCCCATCATCGGATGAATGGATAAAGAAGATGGGGCACATATATACAATGGAATATTACTCAGCCATAAAAAGAAATGAAATTGAGCTATTTGTAATGAGGTGGATAGACCTAGAATCTGTCATACAGAGTGAAGTAAGTCAGAATGAGAAAGGCAAATACCGTATGCTAACACATATATATGGAATTTAAGGAAAAAAATGTCATGAAGAACCTAGGGGTAAGACAGGAATAAAGACACAGATCTACTAGAGAACGGACTTGAGGATATGGGGAGGGGGAAGGGTGAACTGTGACAAAGCGAGAGAGAGGCATGGACATATATACACTACCAAACGTAAGGTAGATAGCTAGTGGGAAGCAGCCGCATAGCACAGGAAGATCAGCTCGGTGCTTTGTGACCCCCTGGAGGGGTGGTATAGGGAGGGTGGGAGGGAGGGAGACGCAAGAGGGAAGAGATATGGGAACATATGTATAACTGATACACTTTGTTATAAAGCAGAAACTAACACACCATTGTAAAGCAATTATACCCCAATAAAGATGTTTAAAAATAAATATAAATAAATAAATAAATATGAGAGTTCCTGAGGCTGGGGCCAAGGCACTAATATCTAGAAGGCATTTAAGAAGTCTTTCTGGAATAAAGGCATAAAGGGAGGAAATACACAAACAGCTCGTAAAACTCAATATGAAAATCAAACCCAATCAAAAATTGGGCAGAAGACCTAAATAGACATTTTTCTAAAGAAGACATACAGATGTCCAATGGGCACAAGAAAGGATGCTCAACATTGCTATTAGAGAAATGCAAATCAAAACCACAGTGAGGTATCACCTCACACCAGTCAGAATGGCCATCATCAAAAATTTACAAATAACAAACTTTGGCAAGGGTGTGGAGGAAAGGGAATCCTTGTACACTGATGGTGGGAATGTAAATTGCTGCAGCCACTATGGAAAACAGTATGGAGGTTCCTTAAACTGAAAAATAGAGTTACCATGTGATCCAGCAATTCCACTCCCGGGCATATATCCAAAGAAAACAAAACCACTAATTCGAAAAGATACATGCACCCCAATGTTCATAGCAGCACTATTTACAATAGCCAAGACATGGAAGCAACTCAAGTGCCCATCAATAGATGATTGGATTACGAAAATATACATGTATATATGTGATATATATATCACATGGAATGGACAGTGGACTATTACTCAGCCATAAAAAGTGAAATATCGCCATTTGCAGCAATATGGATGGACCTAGAGAATATTATGCTTAGTGAAATAAGACACAGAAAGACAAATACTGTATGATATCACTTATACATGGAATCTAAAAGATAATACAACTGAATCTATATACAAAACAGAAGCAGACTCACAGACATAGAAAACAAACTTATGGTTACCAAAGGGGAAAGGGATGGGAGTAAGGATAAATTAGGAGTGTGGGATTAACAGATACAAACTACTATACGTAAAATAGATTAGCAATAAGGATTTACTGTATAGCAAGGGAATTATACTCAATATCTTATAATAACCTATAATGGAATATAATCAGAAAAATAATAACTGAATCACTATGCTTACACCTGAAACTAACACAATATTGTAACTCAATTATACTTCAGTTAATAAAAGTAAAGGGAGGAATGAATGAACAAATGAACATTTAACAACCAAGTTGCAGTCATTCCAGTCTGGCCTCCAATTCTTCGGTTTCTGAGGGCTTTGCAGGTCTAAGAGGGTCTAATCCTATGAATCCGTATGTCTTCCAACGCAACCACAAAATAATGACACCAGAGCTACCAGGATAGCACTTTCTATTTACTCCAAACCCCATACTAGCTGATCCGATAAAGAATTTGAATAGTTGAAGCTCTGGAAATGTAAGAAATATGATGCTTTCTGCCTAACAAGGAAGAAAAAGTCAAACAAGGGGAATTTTCAGATATATTTCATCTTGGTGAGTTGGGGGTTGCACAAGGGGCCAGCATGGTCATACTGCCTGGAGGCAGCTTGCAGTGTCTCCAGACAGAAAAGGAAATGACAACAGCTTTTGACGAGAATAGAAGGACAAATAAAGATCTTATTGAGAAGCAGGTAAATTGGCTGGGCTCAGGAAGCCTGTAATGACTCAGAGCTGGCAAGGGTCCTGTCTGGCAGCCCACCTCTCCCTTACAGCTGAGCTCAGTGGATTCCACGTTGCTTCCTTACCCTGGACCTTCACGTGCAGCATGGGCTTGGTATTGAGCCTGAACATGAAGGGCCTCTTTGTTCTACCACTTTCTCCTCTATGTAGGCCACATGGCCTTAGGAAGCACTGATGACCCGACAGCAAAACAAGGCTTCAGTTCTGTGTATTTTTAAAGTTCAAGAAAACAATATTGAAACCAATGCAACACCACGCATATCTAAACCTGTCTTTCTATTTGCACATCACAGCTTTAGTGACATAAATAAATTATACTGGGAAGAAGTCTTCAAGATATTAAGGAAGCTCAGAGAGAGAAAAATATTATTGGGTTGGCCAAAAAGTTCGTTCAGGTTTTCCATAAGATGTTACAGAAAAACCCAAACTAACTTTTTGGCCAGCCCAATATTTTGAACTCCCTTGTTTCTACTCCTCATTCTGATAATAAATGGGCATGAAGTTACAGTAAAGACTTAGAAGTAAAGGACATGGTTTCTTTATTTTTTATATTTTTAAATAAAAGTTTCATGAATCAATATTTAAGAGATACAAACATGACGTTTCGGTATACATATACATAGTGAAATGGTTACTACAGTCAAGCTCATTAAGAGAAAATGGTTTCTGAGTCTGATAGCTCTGCATGCAGAGTAACAGCTTCGCTACTTACTAGCTGTGTAACCCTGGGCAAGCCACTTAAACTCTCCAAACCTCAGTCTACTCATATCTAAAATGGGGTTTGACCAGATATTATGTATTTTGAGTGTCTAGCAGAGTCCTGACACGTAGTAAGCATTTGGAAATGTTTGTTAAAAGAATTAAGGTACTATCACAGAGTCCTCTAGTTGTATGCAAGGCATTAAGACCATGTCAACAATGGACCCCTATTCCTGCTTCAGTGGCATAACCAGGCTTTTTCCCCTCTGTGTTGAAGGGCACCAAGGAGAATTGGTTAGTCAACATTCACTACGAGCCAGTGTGCGGGGGAGGGAAAAGCCGAAACATATACAAAAGAAAGATCCGATGCTGTGTGTCCTCAAGGATGCTTTTAAAGACTCAGAGCTGCAAAGCAAGACATTTTTATTTCTTAGGACAGCTTCTCTGATTCTTTGCCATTATTTCCACTTGTGCTAATACCACAGCCTCTCTTTTCCAGACATGCTCCCCCTAGAGAACACAGCAGTAGACATTTGTGTATTACAAAACTATTCTACTTTAGTGGTAAGAACTTCTTAGGGAATAAACTCTTGTAGTATCTGCAATTATAGGTTCAGGAAAATGGACAAAATAATTGGACTATAATAAGATCTCCTATTTATAGACTACTTATTGTGTCAGGCTCCATGCTAAGTTCTTTACATATATTATTTCATTTATCTTCACATTATCACCACTTTACAGATGACATTTAGACTCAGAGAGGCTATTTCTCTAAGGACATCACATGGCTAGGAAATAGAGCCAAGATTCACATTCATGAAGGTCTGACTTCACTTTTGTGCTCTATTTTTTTTTAGCCTTTATTATTATTTTTTAAATTGTTTATTTATTCATTTATTTAATTTTTGGCTGCATTGGGTCTTCGCTGCTACACACAGGTTTTCTCTAGTTGCCGAGAGCGGGGGCTACTCTTTGTTGCGGTGCGCGGGCTTCTCATTGCAGCGGCTTCTCTTGTTGGGGAGCACGGGCTCTAGGCTCACGGGCTTCAGTAGTTGTGACACACGGGCTTAGTTGCTCTGCGGCATGTGGGATCTTTCAGGACCAGGGCTCGAACCCGTGTCCCCTGCATTGGCAGGCAGAGTCTTAACCACTGCGCCAGCAGGGAAGCTCTAGCCTTTATTATTTATAAAAATGTTCAGACATAAAAAAGTAGATAATATAGTGTAATGAATCACCATGTGTTCATCACCCAGCCTCAACAATTACCAACTCATAGCCAATCTTGTTTCATCCATACCCTACCCAGCCCCCATCCAACACACACACAGAATTTCATCTTTTCATTTGTAAACATTTCAATATATATCTTCAAAAGAAATGGACTCTTTTTAGAAAAATAACAATACCTATAACAATCATTTCTTAGCACCATCAAATGTCCTGTCCATGTTCATATTTCCCCAATTGTCTCATAATTTTTTTCCCACAGTACGTTATTTGAACCATGACCCAAACAAGATCTATGTCAGAAACTGGCATTTGGTTAATACATCTCTTAAGTCTCTTTTTTTATCTGTAGGTTTCTCCTCTCTTTTTTTCTTGCCATTTGTAAAAAGAAATTGAAAGCCTCTGCTCTTAACCACATAATGTAGCACCTTATGTCCATTTTTGCAGCTATGCGTTTGGAGGGAATGCCCTTCTCCCAAACATATTTCCTGTATTTAAGTGTGACTCCCTCTTTTCCTGTACAATAGAAGGTAATCAAAAGTTTAAAATGCATCTTAGAATTGTTTCAATATTCATTGGAAACGCTGATCAAAAAACCACTTGTGGGGAAGGGCAATCGTCCCAGCAAAACAAACAGTGTGAAGAACGCTTAGAATTGTGTGCCGTTCATGGTGAAACCAAACACCTCACATGCGACCTGAGCCCACAGTCTTCTAACCGAAACTGCACAACTCGTCTCAGGACTTACCAAAGCTCAGATTCTTTATGTCTCGGCGCAGAAGGAATTCAGCTGAGGCGAAGTGATAGGAAATTCCGATTTGCACACTGGTTTGGCCCAGCATTGCCGGAGAAATCTCCTGGGATGTGTCATTTGTTACTTTGAACTTCTTGGTACCAGGACTGCTTATTGTGATCAGTTACTCCAAAATTTTACAGATCACGAAGGCGTCAAGGAGAAGGCTCACGACGACCCTGGCTTCCTCGGAGAGCCACCAGCTCTGTGTGTCCCAGCAGGACGTCCGGCTCTTCCGCACCCTGTTCCTGCTCATGATCTCCTTCTTCGTCATGTGGAGCCCCATCATCGTCACCATCCTCCTCATTCTGATCCAGAACTTCGAGCAAAACCTGGTCATCTGGCCGTCCCTCTTCTTCTGGGTGGTGGCCTTCACCTTTGCCAACTCGGCCGTCAACCCCATTCTCTACAACATGTCACTGTTTAGGAATGAATGGAGGAAATTTTTTCACTGCTTCTTCTTCTCAGAAAAGGGAGCCATGTTTACAGACACATCTGTCAGAAGAAATGATCTGTCTGTTATTTCCAGCTAGTTAGTTTTTCTCTGTAGGCGTCTATTTGTCACTCTCTGGCAAGCCATGGTGTGTTTTCAAAGGGAGTTCATTTCCAGGACGGTCGCACCAGGGTACCTGCTTTAAGAAAATGTAACCTATGCAAATGTACATTTACAGCACCAGTACATTGAGGGGTGATCATTCAGTATAACAATTCTATCCTTTATAAAAGTATTTGCTGTGGGTTCCTTTTCAGTATGAACTTTTTCAGTGTGTAGTATGATTAAGTTTAATAATTTTTATTTGTAACTGTTCAGCAGTCTCATCTCCTACACGTAAAGCCACGCCTTGCCGGTTTCCTGAAGTGAGTCTTGGAACAGGTCCAGGACCCAGATTTTTCCTCTGAAGAGTCATGGCCACTCTAGCTCCCCACCCTGGATTTGCAAGGCTGCAGGATCATTCATTAACGTCAAGAGCTCTTGAGGAATTTCCAAGGAACAAGGATTTAATTTCCAAGGAATTAAAGGTGACTTTATTTTTCATTTATAAAGGGATGCCATGGACCCCTTTAGGAGAAGCTTTGTCACGAAGTCAGACAGGAAGTCGGATGACTCCAAACATTTGACAGTGAGAACAGGAGTGATTCCCTTCGTTGATCCGCCTGTTAGATGCCTCTTAAGCACATGCTGTGGCCGGTGTTCTTGGTGGTGGGAATACAGCAGTGAACCAGACAGCCATGGCCCCTGCCCTCACGGAGCTTACTTATCTTCTAGGTGGGGGCAGCGAAAAACCAAACATAAGTCAATAGACAATATAGTGTTATGGAGTGAATTAGCGTCGTGAAGAAAATGGGACAGTGATGGCAACTTAGATGGGGTGTTGAGGGGTCTGCGAAGACCGTTCTAAGGGGTATATTTGAGGCAAAAGGTAAACCACAAGAAGGAACCAGCCATGTGAATCCAAGGGAGTGGGGCTTTGCAGGTGGAGCAGACGCTGGTGCTGGTGCAAAGAGCCTTGTGTACTTGTGGGACAGAAAGAAGAGGTGTAAACAAAGCAAACTATTGGCTCCTGTATGCCGGGCAATGTCCTTGATGCCAAGACAGAGGGGTGCTGTGCTGGAGACCATCAGTTGAGACCAGAGAGGTTATAGGGCTGGATTACACAGGGTCTGGGAGGCTGCCATAGAGAGTTTATTCTGTGTTCAGTGGGCAGCCACTGGAGGTTTGCAAGTGGATGCTGAAGTGACCTGCTCTACTGGTTGCTGTGCAGGGAATGAACTTTGTGGAGCAGGAATAAAGATGGAGACCAGTTAGGTGGCTGTTGAAGCAGAGAAAGAAGATGGGGAAGTTGGAGGTGGGTGGCATCCGTGGGGGATTGTGAGAAATGATCTTGGGACATACTTTGGGAAGGCAGAGCAAACATGATGTATTGATGGACAGGATGCAGATTAGGAGGGAAAGAGAGGATTCAGGGGTGACTCCTGACAGTGATTGGATGGAGAGCAGGCAACAAAAATGGGGAAGACTAGAAGAATGGGAAATAGAAAGACCCAGAGTTTCATTTGGGGCATTTACACGTGAAACCCCAGTGAGATCCAAATGGAGAGCAGGCAGTGGGGTGCAGGGATGTGGGGTGTGGGCCTGAATATGCAACGTTGGGAGTCACCAGATAGTGTTTGCAGATTTATGGCTTTATGAAATGTCCCTGGGAAGAGAGAGAGAGAAGAAACCGGAGCCAGCGAGAACCCAGGGCTACGCCAGCACTTGGAGGTTGGGCCAGTGGCTGGAACAGTAGCTCAGGGCCTGGCACATAGGACGTGCTCAACCAATCTTTGTCACCAAGTACATCAGAGCCAGTAGTTGTCTTTGCTGGTGGAGTTTCTTGAGCAGCTTGCTTTTTAAGTAAGGTTTATTACAAGCTTGAGGACTAGAGGACAGGGATCTTTTGTTCATCTTTAGTTAATAAATTTGGTAAATTAAAAAAAAAAAAAAAAAAAAAACCACTTGTTTTGAGATGTCCCCGGTGGTCCAGTGGTTAAGACTCCACGCTCCCAATGCAGGGGGCCCGGGTTCGATCCCTGGTCAGGGAACTAGATCCGCATGCCGCAACTAAAGATCCCGCAAGCCACAAAGAGGATCCCGCATGCCGCAACTAAGACCCAGCACAGCCAAATAAATAAATAAATATTAAAAACTTTTTTAAAAACCCACTTGTTTTGTAGGTGTTTATTAAATTATATAGCCTGAGGGCAGAAAAGCCAGCTCTCAAAAAATAACTCCTGTCCCACCTCCCACAGGGCTTGAACTACCATCAGTAAAGATGTCCCTTCTCTTCAACAAGTGGTGCTGGGAAAACTGGACAGCCACATGTAAAACAATGAAATTAGAACATTCCCTCATACCATATACAAAAATAAACTCAAAATGGTTTAAAGACCTAAATGTAGGACACGAAACCATAAAATTCTTAGAAGAGGACGCAGCCAAAACACTCTTGGACATACATTATAGCAATATTTTCTTGGATCAATTCCCTAAGGTAAAAGAAACAAAAACAAAAATAAACAAATGGGACATAAGTAAACTTGAAAGCTTTTGTACAGCAAAGGAAACAATCAACAAAATGAAAAGATAACCTATGGAATGGGAGGAAATATTTGCAAATGACATGACCAGCAAGGGGTTAATATCTAAAACATACAAACATCTCATACAACTCAATATCAAAAAACCCAATAAAAAATGGGCAGAAGACTAGACATTTCTCCAAAGAAGACATACACATGGCTAACAAGTACATGAAAAGATGTTCAACATCACTAATTATTAGAGAAATGCAAATCAAAACCACGATGAGGTATCACCTCACACTGGTCAGAATGGCTATCATCAAAAAGTCTACAAATAATAAATGCTAGAGAGGGTGTGGAGAAAAGGGAACCCTCCTACACTGTTGGTGGGAATGTAAATTGCTGCAGCCACTATGGGAAACAGTATGGAGTTTCCTCAAAAAAAAAAAAAACAACTAAAATTAGAGCTTCCATATGATCTAGCAATTCCATTTCTGGGTATATATCCAAAGAAAACAAAAACATTAAATTCGGAAAGATACATGTACCCCAATGTTCATAGCAGCACTATTTACAACAGCCTAGACATGGAAGCAACTCAAGGGCCCATCAATAGTCGATTGCATTAAGAAGATGTGGTATATGTGTACACAGTGGAATATTACTCAGCCATAAAAATGAATGAAATACTGCCATTTGCAGCAACGTGGATGGAGCTAGAGAATATTATGTTTATTGAAATAAGTCAGACAGGGAAAGACAAATACTGTATAATATCATATACGTGGAATCTAAATACAAATGAATGTATATGCAAAGTAGAAACAGACTCACAGACATAGAAACCAAACTTATGGTTACCAAAGGGGAAAAGGAAAGGGGAGGGACAAATTAGGAGTATAAGATTAACAGATACAAACTAGTATACATTAAATAGATAAGCAACAAGGATTTACTGTGTAGCACAGGGAATTATAGCCATTATCTTGTAATAACCTATAATGGAATATAATATGCAAAAATACTGAATAACTATGCTGTACACCTGAAACTAACACAGTTCTGTAAATCAACTATACTTCAAAAGAAAATTAAATTTAAAAAATTAAAGCAAAAAATATCAGTAGGATTAGATTACATTGAACGGAGTGATGGGAAATCTTTTCCACAGTCAGGATCCTTCTACTCAAATAATTAAGCATTTGTAGACTTTGTTCATATAAAGAGCTCAAGAAAGTGACAATAAAGAGAAAAGTCATAATGCTAAAAAGAGAAAATACATTTTTTTAAAAAGTGGTCCCTAAGACCTGGTATCTTTAAACACCATAAGTAACACTCACCAGTCACTAACAGTTTCAAAAGTCAGCCTCTGACAGCTTAAATAAGTGTGTACGGTACAAGGAAGAGAAGAAAACCCTGAAGAGATCTAGCCCAGATATTACCCTGAAGTGAAGTGAAGTGAAGGATACTGTCGGGGGTAAGGGGTGGCAGGGACCATGAGGAAGCAGATACCTATTCAGGGGATGGAGCCCCCACTGTGGGGGAAACGACAAGTGATAGGATCTACTTCACAGTTGTGCTGTTGGCTTGTCTTTATTATAAGTCTGGATGATATTAAAAATATTTAAGAAGCGGTATGATATATTGTGGCTAAACTCAAGGGGAGAGCTGGCCAGCAGTGGACAAACACCTTGTTGGCAGGGAAGGCGCAGCCGAGAAATGCACACTTGTACTATAAGGTGCCAGTCCTGCTGCTCGGGGTACTGTTTCCCATCTAACTGGTGCTATCTCAGCTCTGGCCATCTGGATGCATACAGATGGGAGCCTGCACAAGGGAGCTGGCAGGCACCAGGGCAGCCACATCCCAGAGGAACTCCCCCATGCTGGTGCAACCTGGGAAACCATTGGAAGGGCTCAAGGCAGCAGCTCTTTACCAACCAGTGCATCAGTATTTCAAGCTTTTAACAACTACTGTTGTCTAATCTAAGGCTGCATGAAAGCTCTGTCATAAGCAACATCTCTGCTTTTCTGAAAAAAGATTGGCAGTGCTACGTTCCACAGAAAACTGAGTCTCGGCTTAACCACCAACTTGGGCAAGTCACTCAACCTCTTTGAGCCTCAGTTGCATCCAAAATGGGGAGAAAACTCTTTGTCTACTTCCCAGGCCTTGTGTTAAACATGTATAGAAATGAAAGCTAAGAAAGTAAATCATAAGAGTTCTCATCACAAGGGAAAATTATTTTTTTTATTTTGTATTTATGAGATGATAGATACGTTATTATGGTAACAATTTCATGATGTGTATACAAGTCAACTAATTATGCTGTATACCTTAAACGTATACAGTGCTGTATGTCAATTATATCAATAAAACTGGAAGAAAAAATGTTTCTAAACAAAAAGAAAAAATAAACAAGAACATGTATGTGCAAGGGTTGCATAACCGATCACACCTTAGACTTGCAAAGTGTTATATCATTAATAATTTATTATTTTTTTTATTATTAAAGCCCTAACTATAACATGGCAACGAATGCACAAAGGGAGCTGATGGGTTTTTAATTTCCCTTTTCTTGGACAAAATATCATGGTAATTAAATCACCCCAGGACAATTTGAGCAAACATGAGGTTAACACGACAACTAGTGCCAGAAGTAAACAAAAGTGCAACGTGGAGAAACGGATATACTTTGAAAAGTCTAACCTGGTCCCAGAGTCTTGCAGTTGATGTTTTCCCACTCCACTGTTTAACTTGAAC